GTGCTGAGACAAATTATTCAGTTGCAGACTCAAATGTATTAAAATCTGGTCTGGTAGCACCTGGATATAAAAGATGCTGATATTTTGTGCAGGTGTCCAGCTCTAAATACGGTGAGTTTAAACAGAACATGTTGTAGCTGATATATTACAACATTACTAAAAAGCCAAACACCTGACATTTGAAAACAATATGACTAATAATTGTTTTGATATTGTAGCGGGCATCAGGATATTATCTGCTATGAGCTGGCAAAAACTGAAATTAACTGTGGTATTTTGAGGTGCAGATTCACTCAATATTGCTTCCAGTTTGTTATTGCCTCCCACATGCAAGAACAAAAGGTGTAAACTCCTGTTTTGATGGAGAGGCAGGATAGGCTGGCTTTATAAGGACAATCCGCACTGTACTGCCGCTGCTGCTTATGTAACGGGAGATTTGACCCGGACACTGTGTTCCCTGACAAAGGCATTTCTATTCAAAAACCTGAGGTGGCACGCTTCCAGCGAAACATTCACTGAGGGGGAACTTCTGCCCATCAGGAGAGGAGACAGTAAACAAGGAGCAGAGGGCACTTGGCTGTTATAACCAGTGTTGTGCTAGTTACTGAAAACCAGTAACTAGTTACCATTATTAGTTACTTCATTTCAAAAGTAACTCCGTTACTTTACTAGTTACTTACGCCAAAAAGTAATGCGTTAGTGTGAAAAGTAACGTTTTAGTTACTTAAAAAAATTGCTCCCATTAATGCCCTTATAGCCTTCCTTTCAGTACTGTTATTGCATTGGAGAATAATACAATCTGTTGATCAACTTGACATGCCTTATATGCAATCTGGATTGCATCGATATTAGCTGGCTTTCCATTTCTGTATATTCTTTCTCCAGGTAGTTGGAAAAAGTGTTCCGTCCCATATGCCGTGTGCGGCCCGGACATGCTATCATGCTAACTAGCTCCCTGAAAACTGCGGTCAAGCCAGCCGTCTTTCACTTTTGCGTGGTCAAACCAGCCGCCCCTGTATTTCGAGTGCGCGATTAGTTACAGGTTTACGGTAATGCAATAAAACAACCCTGGGAAGCTGGACGTTTCGTATGTGCAGGAACACTTCCGGTGAGGATTTCAAAGTAAAGGATGGCATGTGGGTCATTTATATTATCTGCGATTGAGGAACAGGGTAATTTATGAGAATAATGTTAGGACTTATTGCTTCATACACTTGTTGCACAAATACTATGAACTACTTTTACTGTGTACTTCTTGAGAATGGCAAAAGTCCCTCCAGAGAACAAGAATGAGCATTTTTGTCAACTTTAATGTGGTCTAAAAAACATTTATTCCATAAGTAGTTTATGAAACTGCCATGTTCGTACTTAATACTTCTAGGACTACTTGCACAAATAATATGAACTACTTTTACTGTGTACTTTTTGAGTAATTTGAGTTTCAAAGTCCTCTCCAGAGAACAAGAATGAGCATTTGTGTCAAATTTAATGTGGGATAAAACACATTTCTTCCATGAGTAGTTTATGAAACTGCCATGTTTGTACTTAGTACTTTTAGGACTACTTGCAAAAATAATATGAACTAATTTTACTGTGTACTTTTTGAGTAATTTGAGTTTCAAAGTCCTCTCCAGAGAACAAGAATGAGCATTTTTGTCAACTTTAATGTGGTCTAAAAAACATTTCTTCCATAAGTAGTTTATGAAACTGCCATGTTTGTACTTAATACTTTTAGGACTACTTGCACAAATAATATGAACTACTTTTACTGTGTATTTTTGGAGTAATTTGAGTTTCAAAGTCCTCTCCAGAGAACAAGAATGAGCATTTGTGTCAATTTTAATGTGGGATAAAACACATTTCTTCCATAAGTAGTTTATGAAACTGCCATGTTTGTACTTAATACTTCTAGGACTACTTGCAAAAATAATATGAACTACTTTTACTGTGTACTTTTTGAGTAATTTGAGTTTCAAAGTCCTCTCCAGAGAACAAGAATGAGCATTTTTGTCAACTTTAATGTGGTCTAAAAAACATTTCTTCCATAAGTAGTTTATGAAACTGCCATGTTTGTACTTAATACTTCTAGGACTACTTGCACAAATAATATGAACTAATTTTACTGTGTACTTTTTCAGTAATTTGAGTTTCAAAGTCCCCTCCAGAGAACAAGAATGAGCATTTGTGTCAACTTTAATGTGGTCTAAAAACATTTCTTCCATAGACATATGACACTGCCATGTTCTTCTGCCCTAGTTGCAATTCCAATTGCTTGCCCTGGCTTCTTGGAGTTGGTCCTGATTCATCCCCAGGCACTGCTCATGGAACCATCTTTCACAGGTGTCACACTGTATCTGTAAAATGAAATGAGTGACCATCAAATCTGATACATCTTGTCATCGGAAATGATGAAGTATTGAAGTGCAATAGAGAATAATTTTGACAAAATTAGATTCATGTCAACTTTATTACATGTATCTATAGTCTGTAGCATACTCACCTCAAACACCAGTTTAATATCTGAAAATAACTATATTATGTCTACATTTTCAGTTTTTCAAATAAAAATGTTTTTTAGGTAGTTATAGGTAGAAGATTTATAGTTCTGGGAAAACCCCATGTTGCATCACTATAATGTAGTTACCTTTTGGTATTCTTAATTGGTCAGTTACTGTATGTATTGCATACGAGCTGCTTCTCCCTGCTTCCCATATTTTGATAGTGACTTACAGGATGTTGGTGTGTGAAAGAGGACAACAGCAGATAACACACACAAACCTCTTTCCAAGTGGTCCGTTTTACATTAGGAGTGTTGCCTCAAGGTATAACTTGGTTTTCAGGCCTGATCTGGTGGACATGTACCGTCAGTCTCCCAGCAGCGTAGAGTGAGGTGGAGGAACCGCGGGGTGCGCTAATTCAGTGCCCCATATTGCTATTTTCCAAGCTAATGTAGCTTTGTCATATTTGTCAACGCTGCATTGAGGCTATTGTCATCATGTGGGTGGACTTAGACTCAAACCTGGGGTGAAGTTACACTTTAATTGAATATGTTGCTATTAGACATGATTAGAATTGTCAGTATCCCTATTCCACTACTCATCACATTTTATATTCTCTCTGTTCATTATATGTGTAAACAATGTATATACATTACCATTTATCTGAGAGAAGTTGTCTTGACTGTTTTGTTAGTAAATCAATTTATATCGGTTCCACAGTCATTTTGAATAAAGTTAATGTGTGTGGGCTGCAGCTGGGGCGACGCACGAGGTTGCCGTAAAAAAATTATTCGGCATGCGCCGAAAAGTAGAAATCGAAGCATGGCCCTGCAGCGTTTTCGCTGGACTGCCTGATCTGGATAGACCCAGTGACTCAACAGTTTTATAAATACATCTAATATCATAAATTGAATTTGATTAGAATATGATGAAGCCCTATTATAACTACACTACGACAAATACTCACCCAATCTGTAGTGGGAGGCCCAGATCCTGGGGGCTTTGAGGCAGAGCACATTGCACAGTTGTTCTCCATGTGAAACACTGCAGGAAAAGAAAATATGTTATTTAGACATACTGTATATGTATACAGTTAACAGTTGATTGGCAGCAGAAGTGCAGTCAAATTCTATGCAGCTGTTCAGCTGTAAATTATAGCTTATGAACTCTAAATGGATCATGAATGGGATCATTAACACAGGTTTAATATGTTTTTAAGGATGGATGTTTTAAAAAGAAGACTATGTACACAGTGTGAACAGAACAACATATAAGCAGACATACATAAACAATCCGTAATATTCTAAACATTACTAGGCAATGACCTGTATGCAACACATTTAAAAATGCAGGAATTTATATTTGTCACTGTTTCACTCTAAGCCCTGTTTTGTGTTCCATATTTCACCCATGCCTCCTGCCACTCTGCCTGTAAGCTTTCAATAAACCACCTATAAACTGTTCCTGGATGCCTGGTACAATCTATTCGTTTCCTCTTCCCTGCTCTCCTGACACAAACCGTGACAGTTTAAGTGTCAGTATTTACATTCCTTATTGCAGCAGGAAAAAAATTATTCTTCAACTGTTAATGTCTCAATGGAGTGTGTGTGAGAGAAATATAAGTTATGGGTTCAACTGAGATATGTATGGAATATTTGGTTTGGGCCCTGTGCTTAAAATCAATGATGCTGTCGGCTATAAATGCTGTAGTGTGTGGACTCAAAGGCAATTTTACAGGCTGTAGTTATTGTAGATTTGTTTGATTGCATTGGATTAATAGAAGTTCATCATTTCCATAACAACTAACTAAGAACCATAACATAAAGCAGGACAAATGACTTACAAACCTGAACCATTGAGTATTGAAAGTGCAAACTTTCTCCTCTCACAAGCCATCTCCTTTTTGGATGTCCCAAAGGACATAATTGGTAATGCAGGAAAGGCCTCCATCACTGCTCTTGCCATCTACACACCAACACACAGAATCACACTTCTCATCTGCGCTACATTGTTTTTGCCAGTAAAATTACAACATTGAATTGATATTTCAATAAAAATGATCAAACTATTAATAACTAATAGTTGTAATGAGGTAATTAACACAACTTGAAGAATGTACATGACAAACTACATGGGTTGTGTCAACAACCAGCCCTCTTATCACTTTTACACAATTCCCCTAAAAAATAAACTGAAAATTGATAATTCAGAAACTAATGACTTATTTTTTAACATCATTGACTATTTTATACTTTAAACTTGTATAATAATCAAGACACTGAAATAAATATAAGAATATATATGTAGCAGAAGCATACATATTACATATAGTAGTTAAAGTAAAAAACTACGTTACCATGGTAACAATGACCCCACAGCTACTGCCATCACGTTGAACTGGATGGTGCATGGTTGCTCCTCTCCATTTGACAGTCCCCCAGTCCTCCTTGCCATAGCAGGTCCTCCTCATCTTGAAGTATTCCCTTTGTAAAACACATTGTGGAATAGTCTCTAATGTAACTCCCAACAGACACATGTAGAATACAAATCTTTAAATATTGTGTAAAATAAAAACACTCCATCCCAACAGTATGGACACTGGAAAATATTGTAGGTTACCTTGCTTACTGAGCTACTTCATTTAGAATTGTGTACACAGATACTAAGGGCGGGATAAGGAAATATCATTTAAAAAACAGCTGAGACCACCGCTTCAGTGGTGTGGGTTTGGGAACTTCTGTTAACATACTTATGTTTACTTAAACACAAAGCACTAAATATAATTCTAAGATCACTTTATATCTAATTTGCTGACTTACCGTACTCTTTTCGCAGCATTTTCCGAGTCTGCTTTCTCTTTGGAATTTGCCGCTGGATCCACCAAAAATACTGATCTTATAGCAGGAAATAAGTACTAAAAAAAAGGGATGTTATTTCAAAACAGCATTAAACATATATACATATTTAAATGAAAGGGATTTCTGAATGAAAACAATCACTAACCAGCAACTTCCAGTGTGTTCTTTCAATATTTACAAAGGCGATCACGGCTTGATAATCATTAAAGTGGATCTATAACAGCAATAAAAATACTTTTTTTTAAGTTTTCGTAGGAATATGATGCCTTATTTTATTAAAAATAAATCATGGTGTTTGAATTTGTATATTAAATTACAAAATAGAAAACCCAAAGTACTATAACACAGCCTCGCCTACTGATTTCAAATGTGTGCTCTAAAATCATATTTATAAATGACTATTATCATTATTATAAGCAAGACAATAAATGGCAAAGATATGTAGAAAATAAACGTATTTGAGATACGTTCATAAGAAACGTAACGTGGGAGAAAATATGTTGCTAGAAGATATGTAGAAAGTAAACGTATTTGAGATACGTTGATAGGCAAGGCAAGGCAAGTTTATTTATATAGCACTTTTCAACACAAGGCAATTCAAAGTGCTTTACAAAAATGAAAGACATTAAGAAAATGGCATTAAAAATCAGTCATTTAAAAGAAAAGCTAATACAATAAACATTAAAAGAAAAAATACATGGATAAAAGTTACAGTGCAGTTTAAGATATGAATAGTTCAATTAAAAGCAGCGACAAAAAGAAAAGTCTTCAGCCTGGATTTAAAAGTAGTCAGAGTTGCAGCGGACCTGCAGGTTTCTGGGAGTTTGTTCCAGATATTTGGAGCATAATAACAGAACGCTGCTTTACCGTGTTTAGTTCTGACTCTGGGGACAGAAAGCTGAAGATATTCAATAGAAACGTAACGTGGGAGAAAATGTGTTTCTAGAAGATATTTAGAAAATAAACGTATTTGAGATACGTTCACAACGAACGTAACGTGGGAGAAAATACGTTTCTAGCTAAACGTAATTGAGAATGCAGTTTAGTTCTGTGGGAACGTACTTTTTAGGAGACAGGGTTGAGCAGTCAAACATGGTGGTGGAAATAATACATTCTCTAGGAGTGACTTTGCCATTGGATTACTGAAAAAAATTACAGTAAAAGTAGTTCATATTATTTTTGCAAGTAGTCCTAGAAGTATTAAGTACAAACATGGCAGTTTCATAAACTACTTATGGAAGAAATGTTTTTTAGACCACATTAAAGTTGACACAAATGCTCATTCTTGTTCTCTGGAGAGGACTTTGAAACTCAAATTACTCAAAAAGTACACAGTAAAAGTAGTTCATATTATTTTTGCAAGTAGTCCTAGAAGTATTAAGTACAAACATGGCAGTTTCATAAACTACTTATGGAAGAAATGTGTTTTATCCCACATTAAAGTTGACACAAATGCTCATTCTTGTTCTCTGGAGAGGACTTTGAATCTCATATTACTCAAAAAGTACACAGTAAAAGTAGTTCATATTATTTTTGCAAGTAGTCCTAGAAGTATTAAGTACAAACATGGCAGTTTCATAAACTACTTATGGAAGAAATGTTTTTTAGACCACATTAAAGTTGACACAAATGCTCATGCTTGTTCTCTGGAGAGGACTTTGAAACTCAAATTACTCAAAAAGTACACAGTAAAAGTAGTTCATATTATTTTTGCAAGTAGTCCTAGAAGTATTAAGTACAAACATGGCAGTTTCATAAACTACTTATGGAAGAAATGTGTTTTATCCCACATTAAAGTTGACACAAATGCTCATTCTTGTTCTCTGGAGAGGACTTTGAATCTCATATTACTCAAAAAGTACACAGTAAAAGTAGTTCATATTATTTTTGCAAGTAGTCCTAGAAGTATTAAGTACAAACATGGCAGTTTCATAAACTACTTATGGAAGAAATGTTTTTTAGACCACATTAAAGTTGACACAAATGCTCATGCTTGTTCTCTGGAGAGGACTTTGAAACTCAAATTACTCAAAAAGTACACAGTAAAAGTAGTTCATATTATTTTTGCAAGTAGTACTAGAAGTACTAAGTACAAACATGGCAGTTTCATAAACTACTTATGGAAGAAATGTTTTTTAGACCACATTCAATTTGACGAAAATGCTCATTCTTGTTCTCTGGAGAAAACTTTTGCCATTCTCAAAAAGTACACAGTAAAAGTAGTTCATAGTATTTGTGCAACAAGTTTATGAAGCAATAAGTCCTAAAATTATTCTCATAAATTACCCTGTTCCTCAATCGCAAATAATATAAATGAACCACATGCCATCCTTTACTTTGAAATCCTCACCGGAAGTGTTCCTCGGTGGGATTTTCTGTAGCTTTAAAGTGGTCGAATATATAATACTGCCCATACGAAACGTCCAGCTTCCCAGGGTTGTTTTTATTGCATTACCGTAAACCTGTAACTAATCGCGCACTCGAAATACAGGGGCGGCTGGTTTGACCACGCAAAAGTGAAAGACGGCTGGCTTGACCGCAGTCCCTGAAAGCGGGTGACTCCACTGTAGCAATAGCCTGCATGTGTTCTACAACATACCGTGCAATGGCTTTATCGACCCTGGCTAGCAGTCCCTTGGTTAAAATCCAGCCGCTGTTGCTTAGGTGGAGATGGAGTGGCGTTGGATGAGTCTGGGTCTGTGCCGGTCTTAGTTACTAGCTTCGTCCCAGCATGTTGTTTTTGCAGATGTTTTAAGAGATTTGAATTACTGGTTTGGGCAGTAGATAGGATCTTTGACCCGCCAAGACACAACTTACATTTAACTAAAACGTTATTTTCTTTGTGCTCGACAAAAGTGAAATAGTGAGAATATCTCCAGGTGGAGAAACTAGACTTGAGCTCCGCCGCCGCCATGATAGTCTTGTTAGTAAACAACACAAACACGCCCACAGCCCGTCTCCGCATGTGACACAGGAAGTATCTAAGTACATTTACTCACTCATCTCTGTTCGCCTGGCTGTTGACTATATACAAAAAAATAACGGAGTAACGCACCATGTAGTAACGGTAACTGAGTTACTGAATTAAAAAAGTAATGCGTTAGAGTACTAGTTACCAGTGTTGTGCTAGTTACTGAAAATCAGTACTAGTTACCATTACTAGTTACTTCATGTCAAAAGTAACTCAGTTACTTTAGTAGTTACTTACACCCAAAAGTAATGCGTTACTGTGAAAGGTAACGTTTTCGTTACTTGCAAAAAGGGCTCCCATTAATGCCCTTATAGCCTTCATTTCAGTACTGTTATTGCATTGGAGAATAATACAATCTGTTGATCAACTTGACATGCCTTATATACAATCTGGATTGCATCGATATTAGCTGGCTTTCCATTTGTGTATATTCTTTCTCCAGGTAGTTGGAAAAAGTTTTCCGTCCCATATGCCGTGTGCTGCCCGGACATGCTATCATGCTAACTAGCTCCCTGAAAGCGGGTGACTCCACTGTAGCAATAGCCTGCATGTGTTCTACAACATACCGTGCAATGGCTTTATCGACTTTTCCCTGGATAACAGTCCAGTCCAGTTTAACCAAAGGGTTAAAATCAAGCCGCTGTTGCTTAGGTGGAGGTGGAGTGGCGTCGGCTGAGTCTCTGTGGTCTTAGCTACTAGCTTCGTCCCAGCATGTTGTTTTTGCAGATGTTTTAAGAGATTTGAATTGCTGGTTTGGGCAGTAGATAGGCTCTTTGACCCGCCAAGACACAACTTACATTTAACTAAAACGTTCTTTTATTTGTGCTCGACAAAAGTGAAATAGTGAGAATATCTCCAGGTGGAGAAACTATACTTGAGCTCCGCCGCCGCCATGATAGTCTTGTTAGTAAACAACACAAACACGCCCACAGCCCGTCTCCGCATATGACACAAGAAGTATCTAAGTACATTTACTCAAGTACTGTACTTAAGTACAGTTCTCATCTCTGTTCGCCTGGCTGTTGACTATATAAAAAAACTAACACAGTAACGGAGTAACGCACCATGTAGTAACGGTAACTGAGTTACTGAATTTAAAAAGTAATGCGTTAGAGTACTAGTTACTGCCAAAAATACAGTTACAGTAACGCGTTACTTTGTACCGCGTTAGTCCTAACACTGGTTATAACACCCTCATAGGGATGGAAGTTTATAATCAACTTTAAACAGGATTACCTGCTAAATCTGTTAGCCAAAGTGACTCCTGAATAAGCCCATTACAACTTTATTCAATTGAATGAGGATCTTCAAAAGGCCTTTACAAACTTTATTTGAACAGCAGAAGTCGCTCCATTGATTGATAGCAAATTGACCTATTCAGTCTAGATTTGATAATCCATTCATGAATTAATCTAAACTTAGTATCAAATGCAATGTAAGTAAATAAAAGAGAAAATAAATATCAATAAGTGTCGTATGTAAGTCAATGGAACAATGTGAACTTAGAAGAAGAAGAAACCAAGATATTTAGTATCAAAACATATTTTATTTATAGGAAAACCTGCCCTTCATTAAGCATATTCAGGCAATGAAAACACATACTGTAGTTTAAAAAAGCAGAAATAAAGTCTGAGCTAACAGAAGATGCTCCGTTTTGGTTTATTTTAATACAGTTAAGCTCACACACACTATTTTATGAATATAGGTTCACCTACTGAATTTAAAAAGAACAAATTAACCAAAGACAGTGAGAACCATAAAGCAGGTTCAGGCATAGGCGTTTAGACTCACACAAAGTGTTAGCCTACAGAAAGTTCAGTTTACAAAGAAGAAATACAATCTGCTCCTTTAACAACAAACACAGATGCTCTTTTAGTTTCTAGTAACATTGTAATACTTCTACTCAAACTGCAATTTATTGTGTGGGCCCTTAAGGGAGTACATTTTTCCTAGTTTGGTGTTAAAGAAAATTATCTGTGAGTATTGAGTAAACAGGAACATATTGTATTGTGTGATGTGACATTCATTGAGCTGGTTATTTTTTACTCCAAGTAGAAACGGAAAGAGTTTCCCGTGATCACCCCCTGCACTTCCTATTGGCCAGTGTGGAACGTAAATAACCAAGCCCGCACTCCTATTGGCTGGAGCTCCTGGAGCTCCTCCTCTGTTTTTGATAAGAGGTCCGCGGCGGTCAGTGTGTTAGCATAACATCGACGTTGTGGACACTTTATAGCAACAAGAGTTTGGACCATTCAAAGCAATAATGAAGTTCGTAAGGTTTATAATGAAAAACGCCGCCTTGGCCAGTGTGCCCAAACACATCGAGCATTTCTCTAAATTCTCTCCTTCACCGCTCTCTATGAAGCAGTTTCTGGATTTCGGTGAGTATTGATAAGCGATCAGTTGTGGGATATAGCCTAACTGACAAGGGGGAGCAGTGGGCAAAGGGGTTGCTCTATTTAACATGATCAGAAATGTGCTGGGATTCAGATACAGACTATAATGCATGTTTGTGTGAACTAGCATCTGCAGCAGCACAGTGCTCATAGTGCTGAGTGTTTCATCAGATCTGTAGCCAGCCCTGGCACCACTGTTTGGGCCCTGTTAGGGACATTCCTGCTAATTATTACTAACCTTTATATATACAGTCTATGTTACTAACATACATATTTAAAAAAAAACTTCAGCAGATTGCAAAATAACTATCATTAACATTTTGCAGAGAAATTAAGTACTATACCTTACAATACAAATTGCATCAAAATCCCTATAAGCATCCTAAATATTTATTTTAATGTATTCACTTCTGTCAAGTCAGTGTTATTTGAAAAGTCGGATTAAATCATCACTATATTAGGAAACTAATGATCTTTTTTTTTTTAAAAGTGCATATTTTTCATATAGTCAATGAAATGTCAGAATATTGTGAAAAAGGACCAATCAAGAGCAAAAACATATCATTTTTAAATGTATTACCATATGTGTTAAACAAAAGCATAAGCAGCTGGAAAGGGGATTTTTGGCACATAAATTATTCAAATAGTTATTCATTCAGTGTTCTGCCATCAACTATTTAGAAAATGGTGTCAGCTCTTAAAATTGTTCACTCTACTTTGCTTCAGGTTCCATCAACGCATGTGAGAAGACTTCCTTTGTGTTTTTGAGGCAGGAGCTCCCTGTAAGACTCTCAAACATCATGAAGGAAATTAACCTGTTGCCTGACAGACTGCTCACAACTCCATCTGTACAGACAGTGCAGAGCTGGTAAGTCAAACTAGGAAAACTGCTTCTTGTGTTTTTATGATCCAAGTTACGCAACCCTTCAACTGTGACACTTATTATTCCAAAACAAAGGAATAACATGAGACTCTTTCTGCATCTTTTGTAACTCTTTAAAACTTTATTTGCTACCAGAAGTCCCCCCCCTGACTTGTGAGACGTTTACAGTCACAGCTGTTGACCGTTAATGTCTAAATAGTTGAACAGTTTGCCAACTTGAAGTCCTTCCAACTGTGTACAGAGGGAAGGCTCTCAGCTGTGAACTTTACCCTACTCTCTCCTCACATGTCACGTGACTTTGTTTTCAGGTTCTGCTTTTCTTCCCTCTGAAAGGAGTCAGCTAAGGCGAAAACAGACTTGCCTTTTTAACTATGAGCTAATAAGATTCCAGCAGACTCACTCAACTGTTTTAAAACATATGCTTATGTGTGTGTGTGAACATCTTTATTTATTATTTTTTCCCAGGTACATCCAGAGTTTATTAGAAATCCTTGAATTTCTAGACAAGAGTCCTGATGACCACAAAGTTCTTGGAGAGTAAGTTCCTAAAAAAAATTCTTGAATTGTGTTCCAGTGACTAGTCAACATATCAATAAATTAATAATCTGCCACTATTTTGTATATTCTATTAATAATCTAGGTATTTTATTATTATTTATCTTGAAAATGTCACAAAATTGCTGTTTTTCGCCTTCAAATATGGAGATATTCTGCTGTTTTTCTGTTTTATATTATTAAAGTTAGTATTTTGGGTGTTTTGACTGACAAAACATGCCAATCAAAGTCAAACTTTATTTAATATCTGACCTCTTATAGACCTATAATTACTTGAGGCAATAATCAGTAGAATTTTCTAAAGTGAAACAAATGTTATAGAATAATTCATTTTAAAATGTTTATTAATTAAGATGAAATGCTTATTAACTATGCACATATCCAGTTTGCATAATTGTTTTTAGGGCTTGAGCTAATTGTAATTTTAATTATTTATTGACATTTTATAGACCAATAATACATCGAAACAATAATTTACAGAGTTATCGATAATATAAATAATCATAAATTGCAGCCCTTATCTGATCCTTCGCTTTTTTTGTATTAATAAAGCCATACGTTATTGAAGTTATTTTAGGATGCTTGTTTATGTCAAAAATGTTAAAAATACAATTGTGATTTTTTTTTTAATGATCTTATTACGCGTATTTCCCACTCACTTCTTTGTTGTGCTTCCTCCCCAGGTTTGTTGACACCTTGGTCTCCATCAGGAACAGGCACAACGACGTGGTGCCCACCATGGCTCAGGGGATCCTAGAGTACAAAGAGGCCTTCTCCCATGACACAGTCACCAACTTGAACACTGAATACTTCCTGGACCGCTTCTACATGAGCCGCATCTCCATCCGCATGCTCATCAACCAGCACAGTGAGTAGGCTTTCACATTTCCCAGGATTTTGAAAACTTAATCTAATTTGTTTTTATACCAGTTTTGTGTCTGAAATTTATATTTTAGTACCAGTGTGAGGTTACTATAAAACTCACTGTGAGCTCTGTCACTCTCTTGACAGTCAGAGGGAAAAATAAGTCTTTACCCTGAAAAAACATGCAGTCCGCTTTATTGCTACGCTAAAGCTTACAGATTTCCCTTCAGTCACTAATAACAATTTTAAAAAAAAATTATTGTAGTGATTCCCATTTTTTT